GTGCCTCTTCCCCGCCAATAACTCCCTCTTCTGCTGCTTCCGCGTTTGCTTATCCAGATTGCCAATTGTCTTCTTCTCCTGTCCGCAGGGCCATTTCGCCATCGCAGCCTCCTCGGCCGCATCGTCCCATTGCCGCGGCAGAATGGCAAACACAAGGTACGAGGTATGGGTCTTGAGATCATTTTCTGTGCGGTGGACAACATTACCCTGCATCCACGGGGCGTCGCCCTTGCTGTAATTTTCATCAGACGCCTGCTCTGGCGAGTTTGGCGCTGCTTCGTCGACATCCATCTTGGACTCCGACTCATCAGAGGCGGGCGGGATTGCTTGCGTCTTGTGAAAATTTTGGGTCCGCTGCAAGTCACTCTTGAGTTTCTTGACGGCTTCTGATACGTCTGTCGGCACGGCGCCAGCCCCTGCTCGGTCACGCATGATGTTGAACCTCCGGTGCGCGATCTCCACCATGTCGATGTCTGTCCAGCCTAGTGTCCGCAGCTCGGTGACGGTGCGCGTGACCTGCTCGATGCACGGGGAGAATGTGCAGATATACGCGCTGTGGTTGGGATCTAGAGGCGACACCCAGTCGCCTACCTCTGCGTCGTCGACTACTTTGCCTCCCTTGAGCGTCTTGCGGCGGGACAGGTGATGCAGGGCTTCCCAAGGCGCTGGCAGATCGAGAAAGATGGCATTGGCATTGGGAGACTTTCCGTCCACGAGAAATCCTTCATCGTAGACATCTCTGTGCGTAACTTGGACGATGTCTTCGAGAAGATGATTTTTGATCTCCACCTGCATCTTCTGGAACCGAGGCTCGTGAAACTCAAAACTGAATACCTTGCCCTTGACGTCGGTCTCTGATGTCGGATAGCCATTGTAAACGGCTCGCGCGGACGCGTGTGTAAAGCTACCACTCCCCGCGCCGGCCTCAATGATCCGCGACCCCGGTCGAGCTCGAATGCGCTGTAGAACATAGCTATAATCGGGAGTGTAGACGACTTGTGTTCGATGCGGCAGACTGCTCGTCCATAGCTCTGGCGTCGGTCGGAGGACGTAAATGAAACCGCTGGCCGCTACTATGGCCTTCTTGGCAGGTGCTGAGGAACCCGGTGTATCGTTTCCATCAACGGCGTCGTTTGCGTCGTCGGCATTGGAAGTTGGCGTCTCCTCCTCTTCGAGATCGTCGCGTCTGCGTTTGCGCCCCCGCGATCCCGTGTCCACCACGGATGCTCGAACCTGTGAGCCCCAAGGAATGTCGAGAAGCGTCGAGTGAGGGAACGAGCCGAATCTGGTATTTAAAGTGACGCCTTCTGCGTAGCCATCTACCGCGCCGGCCGATTGCTGCAGAGTAATGGGCTGGAAGCTGTCTTTGGAGAGGCTGATGATGGCCAATGTGTTTGGCTGGGTCTTGAGGCTGGGGGATAGAAACGGCGACGGCCGATGCTGTTTGATACAGTCCATGGCAGGCGCAATACTAGCCTGACTTTCCGTAGAATTGAATGACGCCGCTGTTGGACGGGCCGAGATGGAAATTGGAAAAAGTTTGGAGTCGCCGTTGCGGCGCTGCGGGATGCCCCACCAACTGAATTGGTCAATTGCCGCCCCTAGGAGGCTAGAGCCTAGAACTAAGAGGTAAGAAGCCCCAGAAGAGCCTGGAGCAGCCACTGGACTCGCTGCAGCCTGCAGGTCATCTTTCACCAGAGGGGCAGAGGTGGGGGAATTTAGAGGGCAGCTGTGCCAGGTGGCGCTACTGCGTAATTTCACCACCAAGACAGCGAACATCTTGACCGCAACTCCAATCGATTCTCTAGACAACGCCGAACCTCACTGGTGATGAAAGTTCGCGTCCAGTCTGCAGCCACAAAACTCCTCGGTTAGGCGCACAGACTGCTCTGAATGAATCGTCTGCGCAGCCTCTATCGCTGGAAGTCTACGATACTCGCTCCCATCCCCAGCAGCTTCAGTCTTTTCTCCCCACGACCACACAGCACCGCCGCCATGGAGTCGTTGAAAGTCCACAACTCGCTCAAGCCAGGTGCTCCCGTGCCTTTCGTTCCTATAGAGCCCGGCAAGGTTTCCTGGTACGCCTGCGGTCCGACCGTCTACGACTCAAGCCATCTGGGCCATGCGCGGAACTATGTATCCAGCGACATCATCCGGCGCATCATGATGCACTACTTCCAGCTCAAAGTCACGTACGTCATGAACATGACCGATGTTGACGACAAGGTACATGAGTCTCGTTTTCAGGTCAATATACTGTCGCGGGAGCTAATTGTCACAGATCATCATCAAGGCTAGGAGACAACGACTGTTGGATCTAGAAAAGAAGAAGAACTGCTCCAAGCAAGAACTTCGGGAGCTTGGTCTCGCGGCTTTCCGCGTCTACGCAGCAAACAACTTATCACTACTGGCGGACGACGCTTCCAAGTTGGACGAAACCGAGTACATCACACGACGAGACGCCGCCTACGGGCGAGTATTAACAGGCGGCACACTCTCGGGCGAGGGCAAACCGGGCGACGCGGAGGCCAAGATAAAAATGCATTTGGGCAACATGAACGCTGCTGCTGAGGCTCTGAAACAGGATGTCATCTTCCCTGGCGCCGACGAGGTCCTCCTGCCTTATCTGGATTCGTTATACAAGGAGACGGTTGATACGACCGACCAGACCATCTTTACCGACCTGACGAAACGGATGGAAGCTCTGTTTCTGGAGGATATGGACAACCTCAATGTTCTACGGCCGGATGTCATCACCCGTGTGACCGAGTACGTGCCGCAGATTGCCCAGTTTGTCGAACGAGTAGTCGACAAGGGCTTTGCCTACGAAGCGGAAGGGTCTGTCTACTTTGATATTGGCGCATTCGAAGCCGCTGGAAACACATACGCTCGATTACGGCCCGAGAGCAAAAACGATAAAAGCTTGCAGGAAGAAGGTGAAGGGTCCTTGTCGAAGAATCTGGGTGGCAAGCGTGGACCAGGCGATTTCGCTCTCTGGAAAAAGTCCAAGGCTGGCGAACCGTTTTGGCCGAGTAGATGGGGCAACGGCCGCCCGGGATGGCATATTGAGTGCTCTGTCATGGCCTCGGATATTCTAGGCTCCCAGATGGACGTCCATTCTGGAGGCATAGACTTGGCTTTCCCGCACCATGACAACGAGCTTGCGCAGAGTGAAGCCTACTTTTGCCAGCACGGCAAGGGTGAGCATACTTGGGTCAACTACTTTTTGCACATGGGTCATTTGTCTATTACCGGCTCCAAGATGTCCAAGTCTCTCAAGAATTTCCAGACAATTGCGGATGCACTGGCCACCAATTACACGGCGAGAAGCATGCGCATCGTCTTCTTGATGGGTAGATGGAATGACGGCGTGGAGATTTCGCCAGACATGCGTGCCCAGTCGGATAACTGGGAGTCTACCATAAGCGTATGTACTTCTTTCCCTTTTTTTACAATTGTTCGATTCTTCCTATTCAGCTCATCGTAAGCCTTTGTGCTGACATACCACAGAACTTTTTTACAAACACCAAATCCTGGCTCATGGAAGCTGGCATCAATAATGGCATCAAGAGCCTTTCCATCAGCAAAGATGACTCCCCTGCCGCTGGCCTTCTTGCCGACCTAGAGCAGGCCAAGAAGGACCTAGAGGCCGCGCTGACCAACTCATTCGATACCCCACGAGCCATGCTCGTGATCCTCAGACTGGTCAACACCGCCAACATCTACGTCAAAGAGAACAAGGACTTTGACCTATCTCACATCGAGGCCGTCGCGCGCTGGATCACAAAAATAGTCGGCATCTTCGGCTTAGACTCCAACGCCTCCCCCCCCTACGACGGCCTCGGCTGGGCCTCACCAATCGCCGCCGACGTAGATCCCAAAAAAGCCGTCCTCCCCTACTCCGAAGTCCTCAAGACCATCAAAGCCGAGGTCGCCGCCCTATCCCTCTCCAGCGAGACCCTCTCCGCGCTCATATCCCACGATCCCGCCCCCGACTTCGAGTCCACCGCCTCCAGCGGCACCCGCGACATTGAACTACTCTCCTTCCCCTACCTGCGTCTCGTTTCCCAGATCCGCGACGAGCTCCGCCGCCTCGTCCCCTCCCAAAACCCAGACACCAAGCGCGCCCTCCTCACCATGACGGATCGGATTCGCGATGCCGATCTCACATCTCTGGGTGTCTACCTCGACGATCGCCCCGACGGGCAGCCCTCCCTCATCAAGTTCATTCCCGCAGAGGAACTGATCCGCGCTCGCGAGGAAAAAGCCGCGCGTGAGGCCGAAAAGGCAGCCAAGAAAGAAGAGGCACGCCTTGCTCGTGAAACAGCCGAGCAGGAAGCCAGAGAGAAGGCTAAGGTGCGTCCGGAGGATATGTTCAAGGAGGATGAGCGATATGGCGCATGGGATGAGGCGGGGTTGCCGACGAAGATGAAGGATGGGAGTGATGTGCCCAAGAGTCAGGCTAAGTCATTGAAGAAGATGTGGGAGAAGCAGAGGAAGGCTCATGAGGAGCTTAAGGCTAAGGGGGGGCTGTAGGCTGTGTAGCCCCGTTGATCAATTCATGTTTTATTTATCTGGATTTGTTTATAGAGAATGCATCAGTTTCTTTGCGTGGAGTTGCCAAGAATTAGAAACTTTTCAAGATTCAAAATGAGAATACACGGGGATAGCGGATTCGCTTTTCTGGTAGCACTGGGTAGAGCGATACAGATGGATCTTGTGCTCATCATTTTGTGGTTTCCGGTTCTTGATCTATGTATACGCTCGTTTCGATTTGTGAATCGCGTAGAACGGCCGTTCTGAGCTTCCAACTAAGCTGCTCAAGCTGACTTACATACAGAGCATTGGTTTCGGTATTCTTTCTGACTTTTGAAGTGCTGAGAAGGCGTTTACCAATAAATAGTCTCAAGAAAAAGTTCTGGTAAAGGGCTAGGAACTTGGGAAGCCAAAAAAAAATTGAAAGCCAACTTGGGTAGTCACGACGACAAAAAGAATTGAACCTCCGATGCGGGGAATCGAACCCCGGTCCCTGCGGAGCCTTTGAAGTTGCCTTGAAAGCGCAGTATGATAGCCATTACACCACACCGGATGTGATTGTTGATGTTACAGAACGTTGAAGAAGACGTATCTAAATATGCTATATAGACCTTTGCATTCTTAACCGCAAGACGACGGTATCCGGCGCCGCCGCCACTCCGTCACCGCCGATCCGACCAGCATCGCATCATCGCCCGCAAAATCCCCATCCAGCCCTCCTCTCTGAAAACAAACAGCACCATACTACGCCCCAGAAAGGGAACGCAAACCAGAACTATGGCACAATCTACCGCCCACCGCCGCCTCCTCCAAGAATACCGCGCCCTAACAAACGAACCCCCCGATGGCATCACCGCAGGCCCCATCTCCGAAGACGATCTTCTGCACTGGGAGTGCCTTATCCAGGGCCCAGAGGGTACGCCGTTTGAGGGGGGCATTTTCCCCGCGGAGCTGAAGTTTCCAAAAGATTATCCGCTCGCGCCACCGACGATGAAGTTTGTGGGGGATATATGGCATCCGAATGGTATGTGTGCGGGGATCTGTCTGCATGGGAGGGAGGGGGGGGCAAGCGACCGAGCGGGCTGAGGGAGTCGTCCTGAGAAGAAGGAGGATGAAGTACACCGTTACTCAGAAGAACAAGAAAGAAAAAAAAGAAGAAAAGCAAAACAGGGAAGAGAAAAATAGAGGGAGACAGACTTGGCAGAAAGAAGATGAACCAGATCGAGAGCATGAACCCTGGACCTCGGACAAGCGTTCGGGAATCGGTTCGCCGCTCTCTATGCAGACATCTCCGCTACCCCATCCACCCTGGAAAACTTTCACAATAAAGCACAAAGAGCCATACTCACTATTTGTTTCCTCGCTTGACAGTCTACCCAAGCGGCCTCGTCTGCATCTCCATTCTACACGCCCCCGGCGATGACCCAAACCACTACGAACACGCCTCGGAGCGATGGTCCCCGATCCAATCTGTCGAAAAGATTCTCATTTCTGTAATGAGTATGCTCGCGGAACCTAATGATGAGAGTCCTGCGAATGTGGAAGCTGCCAAGATGTGGAGGGAGAGGAGGGCGGAGTATGAGAAGAAGGTTCGGGATGGGGTGAGGAGGATGTTGGGCTTGTGAGGGAAAGGGGGGAGGGGGTACTGCAGCTTGGAGCTTGGTGTACTGGGGGTTTTTCTATGTTTTTTTTTTCGTGGAGAGGATCATGATTTGAGTGCTGAACTTGGCCGTTGTTCAATGGGGGGTTGCAACTTGCATTATTTACTGGATTGTTTTGTGGCGCGCGTGTGCTGTTCTTATTGGAAGTGATGTGTTGCGGTAGGCATATACCTTCTGTTTTCTTTCTTTTCTTGATAAAAAAATTGTGGCTTCGGGGAAGCTGATCATTTCCACGTTTTGGTGACGTGGTTTTATACTGGATTTGATGCATTGTATCTTCAGGGCCGGAATGCATCTTGGGCTACTATTTGGTCGCCTCATCAGTGATGACGATACTGTACCTAGTGTTGCAACTTGTATTTTTTTTCATCCTTCAATTTATGCTTCCTAGACACTTCCCTCGCTTCATTAGGCGCGTGATTGCACCTCTCATACAACGTCATTGTTTAATCACGGCATGCCGAACTGTAATTGCTTCATTCTTGATTTCTTTCTCCTTTCTCTCTTTCGTGATTATGTTGTGGCGGTATGCTCTATGTACTTCCTGTTTTCTGCATCCCTCCGCCCTTTACCCGTCTTCTTCCCCTTAGCATTGGCTTTCATCCTGCTCCACGAGCCCAGACATACTTGGCCAAGATACCACAAACACCAGACACGCCTCCTACATCCCGTTATCCGCCTTAAACTTATCCCAGCTCTCATTCAGCGTCGCAAAAACCAGGCCCGCAACAAGCCGTATCTCCGTGTCAGCATCTCGAGGAAGCTACACCACGATCATGTTAGTAGGCGCTTCACGTGCAGTAGTCGGTGGCGTGTAAAGAGGAAACGAAACAAAGAACACGAGCAAAAGAAAACGGGCTGACAAGAGATAAAAAGAGATGAACTCCAGAAAGGAAACGTAAACGTGGCAGAGAAATACCTTGTCTGGATGCGTCTTCCCAATCGCCTTCATATACGAAACCTTCACCTTATTCGCCATCACCAGCTCATGCAAACCCACCTTCTTCCACCCACTATTCTCCCAAAGCACCTGATCCAAACTCGCAATCAAACCCCGCAGATTATCCCTCTTCCCATCCCGCCACGCCGAGACCTTGGCATCCACCTTTTCCGACAGCGCGAACTTCTCATCGTCTTCTCGCGCAGCTGCTTCATTGGCTTCTCGCAATCGAGTCACGGCCTCTGAACTCTTCTGCGGCGCCGATGGTGCCGATGGACGGGAAGAAGCTTTGGATGGGGCTGGTCTCGCGGGCTTAGATGCGGCCTGGGGTGGTTTCGGCGCCAGCGCGTTCTGGCATCGCTGACGACCTCTTATGGCGGTGGCGCCCCCTACGCCGGCTTCGACGCACTGCTGCCATACGGAGGCCGCGGGGGCCCATTTCTCGCGCTGTTCAAGGGCTTCTGCTTTTCGGGTGAGGGCTTTTCCGTAGAGCTCCGTCATGCTTCGGGGTTCGTCTCTGCCGTCTTCTCCGCGGACGGGTACGGTCTCGTCCTTGCCATTTGTGGGGCCAATGAGTACCAGGGCCTCGTCTGCGTCAGTGATGGCTTGGTCAGTGTCTCCGGTTTTGAGAGACGTGAGGGCGCGGTTTGTGAGGAGGACAATCATGAGGGGGTGGCCGGCGGGGATGAGGGATAGTGCCCGGGAATAAGATGAGTGAGCTGTTGCGTAGTCGCCACGCTTGAAATGTGCGGTGCCCTCGAGACGGTGCTTGGTGGATGCTTGCAAGGTTGCGGGATCGATGGGGGGGATCTGGCGAGGGGGTCTCGGGGTAGATTTTCTGGAAGTCGGCGGAGCGGCGTGGGTTTGTCTTTGTGCAGGTCTGTGGGGTATCGACCGCAGCGATTCGGGGGCTTTTGTGTTGAATAGCAGGTCAGGTTCAGGTTCTTGAGGCTTGGGTGATGCGGTCGGAGTTGGCGCCGTCTTCTTTCGTCGACTGGCGCTCACGTAACTGGAGAAACTGTCGTCGTCGTCTGCCTTCATCCGACCCAGCCTGGACCGCGCGTCTGACATGCCAGTTGTCGCTTGTTGTTGCCATCGAGGCACTGGACTGTTGCGGCTCTGGAGACCTGACGAGGGCGCCGCGGGTGATGATGATGTCGTTTGAGTCTGTTGCCGGTCAAGCCCGGAACCTGCCTTGGATCGATTGCTGCTGCTTCGGCTCTGGCTTGGTCGGCCTCCAGACTCGAGAGCCAGAGCTTCATCAGTTGCTTCTGCGCGAGAGCGTCCCATATCCTGATTCCGGTCTTCTCCTACGGCACCACGCATCCACTTGGGTTGATTCGGATCTCCTCCATCTTGTTGGAATTCTGCCACTGCTTGCTGCATCTTTTTCTGTCCCGTCTTCCAAAGCGAGTTTGCAGTCTTGAACAGCGTGCTGCCCACAGCTGCGGCGGACTTTGCCAAATCAGCGTCTGCGCTCCTAGCAGACGATCCCGTAGCTCCGCGCTCAGCTTGCTCACCTGTTCGATGGGTCCCCGTGGTGCCGTTCTTCCCGAGAGCCTTTTCCTTGGCTTTTCTGTGAGCATCATCTAGCAACCAATTGGCCGCCGCTTGGACGTTGAGTCCGGAACCGCTCTGCCGGAGGCCTCTGCGAGCGTCTTCGGGAGAAAAGCCATAGTCTACAAGGTGCGCAACAGCTCGGTCGAGTTCCTTATTTGCGCCACTAGCTCGTTCGGACCCTTGCTCTCGCGCTCTTGACTGCACGACGTCGTCTTCGGACGAGCTTGACTCGGCTTCTTCGGTCAATCTCCCAGGTTCAGCTACCCGTTGCTGTTGCTGTTTCATCCGGATCTCCTCGACGGGTTTTGCGAGGTCTCCTAGAAAGTCATCATCATCTGCCGGTGTTGACGCTGCTGCTGCGGTCGCTGCCGATGTCGCGTGTTCGCCCAACCCAAATGGGTCGTCATCGTTATCGAAGCCGTTTACATGTAGGCTGGTTTGCGCGGTCGGGCCAGCCGTGGCAGTATCCCAGGCGCTCGGATTCGTCAAATCCAGACCCTTCTTCTCAACTGGAGGAGCCCACTGTCGGCTCTCGGGCGGCGGGTAGTGACTTGCATTGTCTACTTTCGTATCCTTATCAAAGGCCGCAAACAAGTCGTCATCATCTTTCTGCTCCTGACTTGAAGTGCCAACGACGGGAGCCACTATTTGGGGACTAGGCGTGAATGTGCGCGAGCCCAGAGCATCCCACTGCTGAGCACTTCCGAATTGTTCCTCCGTCTGTCGTCTCTTTTCTTCCTCCCTCTTCCTCTTTTCAGCTTCGAGCTGTGCTTGTCGTTCGGCGAGAGAGAGGTTCTGCTTGGGCTTGGACTGCCCGGCCAGGCTCAGCAAGTTGCTGAAGCTGTCTTTGGCGGGATTCGCGGCAGCTTTGGCGGAGACAGGATTCGCGGCGCCCGAAAGGGTAGGTGTACTGTGGCCCGAAGCAATAGGCGATGGCGTTGGTTGTAGGGAAGAATAGGATGCGTTGGATGTCATGAGGTTGTACGATGCTTTGGGCTGCGAGCCCGTCGGTTTGGACCAGTCCAGGCCGGAAAGATCGTCCATCGTGGAGAGCTCGTGCGAATGTCTTTTTCGCCAATCATTACTGGTGACGCTCGCAGCTCAACGCATGGGTATGGCGCCGTTGCGGCAGAAGCACCTGGTGAAGCGTGATATTGCTGCAGGTGCTCGGCACTGTGACGCGTGGCTTACATACTCGGTAGATGCGTGCTATTCCCGATGCCGCTCCGTCACATGACCAGATCACTACCGAGATACATAAGGGCCATAGGTAATCAGCGGTCACATTCTTCTTCTGAGCGACTTGAACGATAAGCTATCCTCAAGTTGCTAAGGACTTTTCGCACTTTTATTCACATTCGGCGAAATGCTGACTTCATACAGATAATGCTT